GGATTTGTTTCTTATATGTTTTACATAAGCTAAAAATGATAATAATTATAGTATAAACGTGTTATCATTACTCCCTTGAAGTTAGCTTTCTTACAATCATTTAGTGTTCTGGTAAATAGCTTAAGTACAGGGTGAAACAGGAATTACTAGCCATCATTAGATGGCTTTAAGATGTAGATACTGGATGCTTTGTACACTATACAATCGGTGTCTTCAGAAATCCAACCCCTATATTATGTATGAAGTGAAGGAGTAGAAACAGTTAATACACATAATATTAAATTTTATTACACACATTTGTACAACAATTACTTTAAAAGACACGAAGGTTTATTTAGAGCGATACTTTAGACGTATATTTTTTATTTGAAAAGCCTGCTTTTCTATTGGTAAAATTTTATAAGCGCTTAGTGTGGGTTGTATCTTAGTTTTAGCATGTATTTGCCCATTACTACGCATTATATATAGAGAAATTAGGCACACAGAAACTATAAATGCTCACTATATTCTCAAATATATCTCCATAACAAGCTCCAGCTGCAGCTTAACATTTTACATCTCGAATTAATGCGATCAAATAGTCAATAGCTACAGTAAATCATCATGAACCGTATGAGCTAGCTACTGGCTAGGTTTATTATCATTACAATGTATAAAATTAGCTACCATATCAAGTAATCCTCTACCCATAGTTGAGCATTAAAAAAAGCCAGCAAACAAGATAAATTAAAAATTGGGAATTTAAAAAACCTGCAAATAGAGATCTTAAAAGAATAAGGAAACAAGACTGAAGATTCTGTAGACATTATTGAATCAAACTACAAATCCCTATTTATTCTCCACCAAATGTAATTCTAGGAGCCAAAATAAGGGTTTGTAGTTATTTGAGTAAATAATTTCTATAGTATCTCCAGCCAATTTTTTATTTATCTTGTTCTCTATAGAACTGAGTGAAATATAGATTTTAATTTCGTTTCTGAAAGTTGAAAATATTTTAAATAGGTCTCGAGTAATTAGACAAACATTTCGACTTTTTAAAGATTTTTATTTCATAAGGTAACTTCTCAGTTACATGAAATAATGGGTTCGGTTTGGTCTGAATTTCGCGCAAAACTACACGAGGGCTATTTGCGTTAGCCGTCCCTAGTTTAGCAGTGATAGACTAAAGGGAAGGGAAGCAGTCAACACCACCCACCGCCAAGTCTTTTACCAACTAATAGTGGGTTTGACCGTCACTTTATAACGCCCCCACGGCTGAAATTACGAGCATGTTCGTGACGGGGATTCGAACCCGCGACCCTCACATTGCGAGTCGAACGTAATGCGTTCGACAAATTTTCTTTTGTGTTTCATCTTCTTTACAGTTGAAATCCACTTGGAAGTTCCACTAAATATATATATACAGTGAGTGGTCACAAGTAAATAGACACCTAATTTTTCGTCATTTAACT